TGAAGTTCATATAAAAATAATGGATTTCTTTTTCCCCCAACTAATATATAACCCGTAATTCAAAATTTGTAAGAAGTTTTTAGTTTATCAAGGGCTTTGCATTCGTTCCGGTGTATTAAAAGCAAACAACTCCATTGTAGCGGAAAATAGAAAGCTTTTATTAATTCCTCTCACTTGGTTTAACCGTTTGAGAGCAGCGAAGCGCACTCGCGCTTCTCTTATTTTGCATAAAAAACGCGGAGACGAGCGATCACGCTGCTAGACAAGAACAGTTTAGGATCATCAAGATATTCAGATTACGATCCGTGAGGTAATTATAACTTCTTAGTGAATAACGGGAAAAAAAATTTTCGGGAACAATACGCAATTGAGTATAGGCGAATCTTTAGTTGGTAGTCATTGTATATAATATATTCAGAAAATTCTCTGGGTAAAAATTAAGTAGACTGCAATTTACTCCGAACATTATTGCTGCTATAGAGGAAGAATTGTTAGCAAGCAAAAATACCACAGGAGACTACCAATATGTAAAAAGTTTCCTTTAGAAAAATTGCCTGGGCGTAGTTTGCGGAAACGGGTGTGCTATCTGTAAAAAAGAAATTCGTGGAATTTGTGGAGCAAAACATTTTTGCAATAATGAGAATAAAAAATATTTTTGTTGGCCGAACTTAAAGTTAGTTCTAATTATTTTTATCATTTTCCAAAAAAAAAAAATTACTATATATTTAACTCTGCACTTTCTGCACATATATAAGAAAATTCTTCAGCAATCAACGATTAAGCTGAATCAATTTTAGTCAAATGCTGTATAGAATTATCTTACAAAATGCAATATAGAATTGTATTAAAAATGGCTACGCCTGTTTCTTTTGCTTATTAGAAAGTGATATCACTGATGTTAATGGTGTATAAAGCTTTCGCGAATACAGTGAAACAGAATGACTCAAGACAGACGGACCTTCGTTTATGCTAATTGATCTAGAATTATTTCCTGAATCTCCCTGTCTTTTTGTGCATATATTTTTGTTTTCAACTTGCAGCTCAGTTCGAACCGATGAACAAGCTATTGAGAATGGGTCAAACGTAATCATTTTTACTATCTCACTTTAAAAAAGTCGTCATACGCAGCAAACATTATGTAACGTTGTATTTGCGTATCAGAAAAGTGAGACTGCCTGAATATACATAAGCAAGAGCAAAATCACCTGCCCTTCTCAGGTGTTCGCTTACCTCTAGTAGTAGAAAATTGATAAACCAATGAAAATTTGAAATTAAATGCAAGCCTTTGAACAATCAATTGTAGCCAGATTGCCCTTATTGTCATGGTATGTGCAATTTAAAATTGCCAAAACGACATGCCCAACACAAACAACATTTTCAGCAATTCTAACGCAGCCATTGCTAATAACATTTTTCGTATAAAATTTTGTTTATAAGCAAACTAATCTGTAGGCAATTTCAATTCAAATACTAAAGTTTTATTATTTAAAAAGTTTAACAATTCTAACGGTTATTCTAATCTGGTCAGCCTAATATCAGAATCCTTTTGCCCATTAAAGCACCAATAGGCGACTTCTTAAATCACTTAGGATTAAACAAAAACGAATGGAGTCAAGATAGCTTGGCATAAGAAGATATAGGAAATAAAAATCGGTGAAGGCAATATAACGTGCGGAAGAGAAAAGAGATTAAAAAGTGTTTTGACTTTTTAATTTATATACTAAAATGCTGATTTGAAAAAAATTGGTTTCTGTTGCGCTATCTTCTCTATTTAAAGACGAAATGGAATCGCCTAAAGTGAAATTTGGAAAGTTAAGAAAGTCAGGTAGAAGTGGTATTCAATTTTAATAATTATAAGAATAAATATGTTTGACAAATCTCGCTCCGAAATGTGAAGACTTCTTATTAAAATGATAACATTGAAACTAACAAAGAACTCTCTCATATGCGTCCACGTTTATTTGGAACTTTGTTAATCGCATTAATGGCTCGCGCTGAGTGCGTACCACTAGAGCAAGCAATACAGATCCTATAAATTTTGTGTTTCTACGCCAAGTAGAAAAAAGAAAAAATACTTTTGGGTTATAATTAATTTTTTTTTATTGCAATCCTGGAAGATAAAGTTCTGACAGCGAATGAAACGAAATTCATGTATAATTTTTGTATACTTAATATACGCTCCATATCTCTCCTTTATAGCTGACATCTTCGCCTTAAATTTAAAATAGAAGTTCAATGCCACTGTAATCAATAACTAAGCGTTAACAATAATGAGAAAAAATGAGGATTATGTATTTACAAAATAATATATTTGTCAAAATAATATTAATATTGTTATGAAATTCGGTTTTGTAAGATACAGTCCGTATCACTGGATCGTGGATATTTTGACCGAGAGAAATACATGTCAAAGTTCTTTTATTTAGAACTATATATCTTAAGATTAGGGCTATTCACAATTTATTTTGGCAGTACTCTCGACCCGAATGTTCTTATGCGACTAATTCTGCCCTCCACACAATTCTATCTATATACATTTTTACAATCATATTACTATACCTAATTTTATAGTTTCATTTTTAATTCGTTAATCTGCTATTCTGGTACTCGTTTTCCTCGGCCGGCAGCTGCATGACGCGCTGCGAGTGTGCATTTAGTTTTTCCCTCTTTAAGGAGGTTATTACGTAGCTAGAATGAACAGGATTTGGGATTTCCGTAACAATATCGTAATATAACATTATAATCATGTAAAAATTTTCGAAGTAACTGCTCAATATCTCGAACTCGAACGACTTTCCACTTTCTATGCGTTTCAAAATCAATTTGTTAAGTAATTCAAAAGAACTATTTGTTCCCTATTCAAATTCTCCATTCGACGCAAAATACTTACCAAACAGCTATCTTCAAAGGTAACCCTTGCCTGGGGCCGCATTTATAAAGTATAGTTCATACATCATTACATGTGTGTAATGCTTGATTAATGATGTTGCTTTGTAATGGAGAAAGGCAATATTCTTCTTCTTCAAACTTCTTCTTGACTTCGCCATTCAATTAAATCTGCTTTTTTCAATGTATTGGAGAAAAATTATGGCATGTTCTCCAAAATCTCAAAAACGCTGATATAATTTTGCCCACCGTGAGTGCAATTGCACCCGGCAAAATCAAACTTCAAATGTTTTAAATATAAAACCGAAGCTTCTTTGACGTACTTTAGGAGCCGCACTTCAAGTCGTGCCGCTCTTGATAGTCGTTTGAATTTAGCTCCTAACTAAACTCACGGAGTGTCAAATCTTTACGCTAAATATTAGGACGTTTGAAAAGTTCGCAGATAATACAATATTACTAGCAGTAAAAGTTTTTTATGGCGGAGCTTCCTCAATGAATGCCCTACCTGAAACAAGAACATTGCAAAGACGGATGTGTACCAATAAAATACATTGATCGTGACTTGGGGTTTACCATTTGTTCGGCTTTGAAGCAATAAGACTGAATCATCATCAGGACTCCCAGATATTTGAGCGCGGGAACTGATTGTACTATGTGATCCCCGATTCGTATCCTGCATATCTCTGGCCTTTTCCGGCTACTTACAAGCACAACTCCAGTTCTGTGCCCAATCAGCTCTAGGCCCATCTTATTTAGCCACGCTTGGGTGCGCATGATTGCCTCGGTAGCTGTCTCTTCTATGTCCGCAATCCAATACTTGTTGTGCTGATGGCCAGATGCAACCTCAGGACGTCGTTACACATGATATTCCACACGAGGGGACCAAGAACTGACCCTTGTGGGACGTCCGCTGATATTTTATACAATTCTGTGCCGTTGTCGCTTTCATATACCAACGTACGGTTCGACAGGTAGCACGTTATGATATGGAGTACATACCTTGGGGCCTGCGCTCTTATAAGAGCTTTACGGATAGCTCCCCAATCCGCCGAGTTAAAGACGTTTTTAATGTCTAGTATAATCAGGGCACAGTATTTCTTGGCGTAACCTTTCCATCTGCCCCGGCTATGGCGTCGGATACCAGCCTCATACTTCTGAATGGTTCGCAGATCAGCACCATATCTACCTTCTTCTCTCTGACCGTTTGTCTGAGCAGATCATGAGCTGCCTCGCCGTGATTGAGATTAATCTACATTATAATCATTTCCGGGCTCTAATGACCAGTGCCTGTTTGAGCAGCGGACATTTGCCTCTTCCCGCCACATGCTTTGCGTCCATACTCCTCGTTCCCCTGCAGAACATGCAAGAATGCTACTTAGTGCAGCTTTTCGCAATATGGGTTTCATCTCCACACCTCCGACAAGTCTTTGATCGGTCAGATGGGCCTAACCACACAGTTTTCCGCCCTCCAATAATTTAGCGGCTTCTTCCTGCTGTAGGCTAATGAACGCTGTCTGCATTCCGCTGTATGCCCTCCTTCCGGGAAGCCGCTATCCGGTTCCGCTGGTGTAGTTGCTGTTAGGATCCCATGGTTATATTTGCAAGCAGTGAGGCCATGCAGTGGGTTGACGGTAGCCCTTATGAGACTAGCGTTCAGTGCCATACTTTTAACGGGGCGGGGGCGGCCTGAGCTTAGCTCTCTGTGTGTGTGTGTGTGTGTGTGTATGTGTGATATAAAAATTTAGGGATGGTTTCCAAACTTACGTTGAAGCTTAAAAAATCCCAAATTCATATATTCATCAGTATTTCTTGTACGTTATCTGCTTATTCATTACAAAACAAAAAACGAAGACAATTTATTCATTCATATAAATTTGTATATCTTTATGCTTGCAACACTGTTCCTTATACTCCTTAACAGGATCCCTGTGGCGTTATGTACGTTCATCCATGTCACTTAGCGGTTATATGCCACCGTTGTGTGATCCCAAAGATGGACATCTGCTACTGGACGGTGGCTATATAAATAATTTGCCAGGTAATTGAAACGGAAACTAACCAGTAAATTGAGAATCCTCTTCTATGCATACTCATACACAACCACCTTTTTCCTTGTTAGTTAAAATTATAAATCAAATTTCTACTTAAAACAACAAAAATGCAGAACAAAATTGGAAGCATGTTTCAAGTTTTATCTTTTAGGTCTAAACAATGCAATTTTTATTAACAGTTTTCGTTGCCGCTTTTTCGTAATTTATTCAGAGTATTTATAATAGAATATATTGGTTCATTTCGACTTGATACACTTGAACAAATTTATTTAAAACACAAAAAGTAAAAAAGACTCAGAATGTGCTAAAAAAAATTTTTTACAACTAACAGTTTTTATTTTTATTCCATACTAATTTTTCCTTTTTTTTTTTATATTATTACTTTTATTATATTTTTAATTTTTCTTTAAAACAATCACTCCAATCGATTCGTTCATTTACATTTCGAAATCCATTTATTTACATCCACCATGACTCTGACACCAACATCCACCATTGTTTTATTATTGTTGTTGTTGTTGTTGTTGTTGTCGTCGTCGAATATATATTGCCTATAGGTCATTTGTGGCGTTATATACGCGCCAGTATGTCGATTGCTGGTGTTCTACCACCGTTTTGCGATTACAAAGACGGTCATTTATTGCTAGATGGCTGCTACATCAACAACGTACCAGGTAATATAATCGAATCGCATCAATTTACTCATCATTATTAGCCCATTCATATTGTGTTTGTTTTTCTTTTTCATAAGTCTCTTACGTTCTTTTTAAATTTATTTGAAAAAAAAAAACAAAAAAAACAGGATTTCTCTGCATTTTTGTGTTTAAGCAGCCATGTTCCAATATACAATTTGATTTGATTTGTAATTTGAATTACAAGAACGACTATCAGTACGCAAACCTTTTAATATAACACTTAATTTTGCTCAGCAATTATGAACACATATAACTGAGGTTCAATACAGCCGGTCTTCCAGGATAATAGTCCTGGAACAAGTTGGCAACGTTTTACACATTTCGATATCCATTTTACGTAGATATGAGTTCAAAGCACAATTCGGTCGAGTTCAGAATTAGAAAGAACCTTATACTGTCCGCTAACATCCCTATGCTTGATCTTAGTCAGCTCACAATTATAAATATATATCTAGATTGAAAGAACTTAAATATGACGCAACACGTAGCATTTATGAGTTATGAAGATTGCTCTGAAATGGGAAAGTTTCTTCGAATAACGTTCAATAAATCTAGGCCCTACTAATGCACGCAATAGATGAAAACGATTCATGAAGCAAAAAAAAGTTTGTTTAATTCTTAAAATCCAATAAATTAGAAATCGAGTAATGGATGCAAATAAATATTAAGTTTATTTTTCAAGCTCCGCCCGATACTACCGCTTTTAAAAATTAACTTAACGATTTTAAATCAAACCTTCGATGGGTTTTCGTAGGTTTATTATATATATAATTTATATTTTCTGATTGAAAGCAAAATTAAAGTAAGACCGGGCAAAAGACTAGTAATTCAAAAAAAGTTTACAAAAAGTTAGCATATATATAATGTTTTTTATCATGATTCATTCCGTTCAGCCGATGTTATGCATAAATTAGGAGCTGCCCATATAATAGCCATAGATGTCGGTTCCCAGGATGATACTGATTTAACAAATTATGGCGATGATTTATCGGGCTGGTGGCTGCTTTACAAAAAATGGAATCCTTTTACCACACCCGTCAGGGTACCAGATCTACCGGATATACAATCACGGCTCGCCTACGTATCATGTGTTAGGCAATTGGAGGTAATATAAAAATCGATCCCTATTTTGTTGGTTCTTTTTCAATTTTTCATTATTAAAACCGGTTCTCAGGAAGTTAAAAATTCCGATTATTGTGAATACATACGACCACCAATAGATAAGTATAAGACTTTGGCTTTCGGTAGCTTCGATGAAATCCGTGATGTCGGTTATGTTTATGGTAAAAATTATTTCGAAAATATGGCCAAAGCAGGACGTTTGGGACGTTTTAATCAATGGTTTAACAAAGATCCGCCTATAAAAGACTACCATGCACTGAGAGAATATTCTTTCATTGACTTAGCACAGATTGTTTGCAAGTTACCCGAAACATATGTTGATCCTCAACAATTCCAAATGAATTATGTCTATAGCGAGGATGAAGACTATGACGGTTATATATCCGAGCCATCAACTTATAATAGGGTAAATACAAATTTTTTATTTATGAATTAAGAATTGCATAGTTTGATTTTTTTATTTTAATGTAGAATCAAATAAAAATGAAACGTACAGGGACTTCACTTTCGTTATCAGAAAATGAAATGGATTCAGATATAGAATTAGATCTCACTTTAGATCTTAGAAATAATCAGAATAAAGCGCTGATGCCTATATCTCTTTCTAAAATTTCGATTGATACTATCGAAGGTCAACTTCCTCTTACTAAATCAATTAACTTAATCGGAGAATCCACCGATCATCATCGCAGTTCATTAGAAACGGATACCAAAGGGAAACAACAAAGGGGTAGTGGTTTCCCGCAACAACACCTGCATCAGCAACGGCAAGATCTACAGCCAAACGATATAGAAAATGAAAGCACAAATCAAGGTCAATCTTGAAAAAGAATATTTAGATTTACGTCTTATTTTATAAAAAAAACAAAGAATGTCAAGACTTTAATTCAACGAATCGTACTAAACTGAACTGATTATTAATTAATTTCTATTTTACCATATGTTTTTAAGCAAAATAATATCATTTATTTTTTTAAAACTTCTTTACAATCATTTAAGAGAAGTTTAATTGAAGTATTTAGTTGAATGTAATAAAACGAAATGTAATCAAGCACAAGCTTTAAATTGAATAGAAACATAAATAAAGGAATGAAAATTAAGTAGTAATTTTTTTTTACTTGTAATTTTCTCTTAACATCGTCATCTTAGCTATCAACTACTTTATAAAACTGAAATTTTTTTAACCGCTTCCTCACATACTCATTCAGGCACAGAAACATCCGGCTGTTACCGTCACGGTTTTAAATTTCCAGACCCGTCTTAATTCTTGCGGCAACCAGCTAACTGTGGCTGCTTTTTGCGTGTCATCATTCACGGTATGATACACTAAAACTTCCACCTTATATTCCAGCGGTTGACATACCAGGCCATAGGCACATTTTGCAGATAAATTATCTGTAACTATCGCTGCTTGACATACTGAATATAACAGAAAGCGTGGATAGTGTAACGGCCCCAAATCCATTAAATCATTCTAAAGAAAGAGGAAAAAAGAAACTTATGTATTTCAAATCTTTCTTTTTTTTGTAGTTTATACTTTTATTTTGCAATCGCATTTTCCTCGAAGACTCATAATAACACGATTATTATTTCTAGTTCGGTCAGTTCGCTTAAATGCCCGTTTTTTGTCCTCTAAAGTTAAATCGTTACAGAATTCTTTATAGTGAGTTATTGACAAAGGCGATGCTTCAATAGATTTCCGCTTATTGTTATAATTGTTTTCAATGGAAACACCATTTGATTGTCTGTCTATTCCGTATCTATCTTCAGTACCATGCAAAACATTGTGCTTGTAAATTGGTTGATGTAGACTTTCAAGCAGCGGCAGAAAAACATCCTTGCAACTATTTTCGTAAACATTGGTAGAACATAAATTTGCAGAATCTGTGCAATTTACATTTTGCATTTCCGTTTTACTGCAGGGTTTCGAAGAAGTCGTTTTCATAAACAATGATATTAGAAATCGACTGTCCCTTAAATGATTATCACAAATAACACTAAGTAAAATGGTTACCATAACTAAAGTACTCTAATTGCAAAAGTAAACGAAATCATTTAGGCTTTGCAGTTTTCTATATGCAGTTGTATTTACCAATAACATTTTGTGACGTTTTGTTCGTCTTATCCTTCCTTAATGATAGCAGGAATACTTTTAAGTATTAGCAGCTTGTGGTTGTGGACTTTTATAGACTTGCTTCTCAAAACAATATGCTATATGAGAGCTTTTAACATACTTTCCTTTCAGCGGCATTAAGTTACAAATTAACTGACGGTCTATTCATTATCTCTTTACCTTTACATTATCTTGCCGTTGTTTCTATAGTCATTTATATAAAACCATTTACTTTTAGCTAACAAAAATATCTTTAGCATATTACAACAAAATGATTGATTAAAAAACATTTCTTTACATATTTTTCCAAAAATAAGATTGAAAGATTTCCGAATTTATGAAAACATTGAATTCATGAATATGTTTCGTTTCTTATCGCTACTTAGTACTTCCCAGTTTGAAGAAACACTTCGGGCCAAACGTAGTATTTCTTAACGGCAAAAGCATACAATCCTGGTGACGTTTACGCTCGCAAGGTAAAATTTTACATATTTCGCCTTCTCGAGATAGCTCATTATTGCATTCTGCACTGCGTGCACTCTAACCAACTAAGAACATCTGTCTTCCAACGAACTTCATGGATTGGTAACTCAGCCACAGCTTGTTTAAATAGTGCGGGTATATCGATTTCCATATCAATACCGTTGATGATAGCCAAATCTTGTACACGTACGTAGTGCTTATTGAAATCATAAACATCCTCCGGATTGGCTAGCCATAATTGTATACTTTTCAAGTATTACTAAAAGATTTCTGAAATAAAATTTATTAATAATTCATCAAAATTGTTGAAAGAAAATTGAGTTCCGAAACCCAATAAAGAATATAAGAAAAACGAGGCAGAAATGTTAAGCGAAACAGTCGTGGTCACTTTGGAGCGAATTTCAAGCACTCCGCTATTAAGATAAATATTTTTCAATTTTATTTCAGATATATTTTCGAAAATTTAACTTATCCTATATTAAATTTGTAGCTCTTGGAAGTTCTCGTAGCGTAAAAATATTACTATTGCTAATCCCCCTGTTCGGGAAATTTTTGAATTAGCAAGTATCTGGCTTTTTTCTTTATTTATATCAAAACAATACATTATGTACCATATAATAGTAGCAAGAAGTTGGCCAGAAGTTGAGTTTACTTCTGTGTACTTAAGTCATAATAAATGCAAGTTTTCAGAAACAAAAAAGAAGACTAATGAAAAGTTACCGATTTTTAAAAAGTTGATATTCATGAAGGAGACGATATTTCAAAAAATTTGAAAGCAATCTTTCACCTGAGGATTTGATTCAACTAAAAAGTTTTCATTGCTCTACGATTTAGTTGAGATTTAAAATAGCACTCGCTTCTCAGCTATAGATCTAATGCGTAATTATGATGTCATATATAACCATCTTAAGACGGATTAAAAGAAATGTTTAAACGCTTAGGTTATTTTAGTAACAAAAAATACATACGTACAATATTCCAAAAGACCACATCAAATTGTTGTTGAAAAACATATACAATGTATATACTTGTTGAGTATAGGCAGACATAAAAAACACGCTATTTAAAGAAAATATGTGAATACCTGAAAATAGCTGGAATATTTTTGAAATTGAAAGAAAATCGTTCAATATAAATACCATAAGCTGTAGGGTGAAAAAAAGAATATTTGCTGTGTGTGGTATAGATTAATATTCGTAGGGCTTCTTTAACAAACCAGCCAAAGTTTAGAACGAAAGCTATGCAAAAAAAAGAAAATTTCCACGCTTTCCACACTAAAAACTGTTCCCTAATTTAGTCTAGTCGGTGCTGTTGTCGCGCGGTGCAATATATATGTACAATTTATATTTATATTTAAATATAAATATATATAAACTATTAAAAAATTATATAACATGCAGATATTGAAACAAAAAATTACATAGATATTTTAGTTATATAACTTAAAAAAACCAAACTCTATAAAAAATATTATTAATAAATCTGTCCAGTAAAGAAAACCGTTATAATGATTTCTGTATAAAAGAAGAAAAAAAAAAAAAAAATACAAACTAAAACATATCTTACTCATAAGGCCTGCCCAAAGAAACCCTACTAATGCGGTGAAAAAGCGAAGAAACGTAAAAGCAAATCCAGCAATCGTTACAAAATAGCATACACTAACCTATAAATAATACAAAAAATAAAATAATTACAATTCAAAGAAACATATAAACACACATGTATATGTATATATAGATATGTCCATATACATAAAATGAAAGAGCACATGCCGCCTTATTTTTTGATAAAATCATTTAAAGATACTCACAGCAATTATTGATGTAACGGAAATATTTAGTTAGACTTATTTTCAATCGATACAGTATTGTAATCTACTCCTACACATACATATACACACACCAGGCGCGCGTGCGCGCGCCAGCGTGCTCGCACACATAAACACAAACATACACATTCACATTTGAATGGAAAAGGGCACAACTATGAAACGGAAACAAAGGCGTTACAGGTATTTGAGTGTATATACATATATGTTGTGTACTTTTTTCTTTTAAGACCAGCAAAAGAAATCATATTCATATGGTATTGATTTCCCATAAAATAAAAATTTGTTTTGCTCAGTATACCACTATTGACGGCAAACATAACTAGTAACAAGACTTAATAATATGAGTCTTTTTTTTCAATCGTAAAAGGTGGTCCTTACGCATTAATTTGTGCAAGTATCTATCAGGAAGACTTAAGGGATGAGATCTCACATGCAAATAATTGCAGCTTCTCTTAAGTTTCTGAAAAGTATAGGGTCTTCAATTTTTAACCTAATCACAATATTTATTATCGCTTTGACCGTTTCCTGAAGTTCTACTAACTTATATCACTGTACATATAATTTATTTCGTTAAGTTTAGAGCCTATTTTGAACGCATGGATTTTTGTCTTTCCTGTTTAGATGTACAGACGTTGCAACAGATTTACCTCCCATCACCAGTCCCATTATATAGGTTACAATTTTTTCTTCCTTCCACTTTAATTATTAACACCTACAATTTTGCATAATTTGTAAACGTTGGAAAATGGTTGATCCTTTACATTAGTCTCTGCTATTTCTTTAAGGTTCCTCTCTTTCAAACGTCCTCCTCAATTATTTTTCTTCAAGGCTTTTTTGTTGCTTTAAAAAACTAGTGAAGGTGAAGTTGAATCTTGGCTTTATTGTAGAAATAATAAAATTAACATGATATAATATAACATACTAAGAAAGAACATTACTAATGTAAATGCAAAAAATTAAAGGAATATTCAAATTCATGTAAGTTGTGTGCTGTATGTTTCGAAAGAAAATTTACAAATAAAAAACGGCGATTAACGTTAAATATCAAAGAAGGGCTTGTAAAATTTTTTACAAAAATGAATCAATTTGCAAGAACGTTGTTAGATAAATGACAATTTCGCATGAATTTATTTTGCAATTTGATCACTTTTGTTCGAAAAGTTCCTAGGCATGCTTTGTATCACTTACAATAATTTATTTTGGTATATTTTTGAAATTTTTGATGAGAATTAGAGCATAGTGATTTCATGCTGGACAGGCAAACAATATAATTGATTGAAAGATAAATTTACATAACATAATGTTATTTACAGTAGTCAATATGGAATTTCTGTATATTATTAATCGAATATATTAGTTTGGGGAAAAAGAAATCCATTTTTTTTATATGAACTTCAGAACTTCATTTAACATGCTTTGGACTGTCCGATTTGGGCCAAATATGCACGATTTTGTTGTATGATTTGTTGCCATTTTAAAGGTAACTTCAAAATGCCTCTCTCATAGAAGTCCTGGTCTCTATTTGCAAAAAACTCTAGTAGTCGGTTTTCACAATCCTCCCTAGATTTCAATTTTTTATCATTAAAGAAATTTTGCAATGCAAGAAGAAGATGATAATCGCTTGGTGCCAAGTCCGGACTGTATGGCGGATGCATTAAAACTTCCCAACCAAGCTCCCATAGATGTGTGTGGCCTAGCGTTGTCCTGGTGGAACACGACACCTCTCCTGTTGGCCAATTCTGGCCGTTTCTGGTCAATCGCTATCTTCAAACGGCCCAGTTGTTGACAGTAGAGATCAGAATTTAGCGTTTGGCCATATGGAAGCAACTCATAATAAATAATCCCCTTCCAGTTCCACCAAATGCATAGCAAAATCTTCCTGGCCGTTTGAGGTGCTTCACCGCTCTTTGACCACGATCGTTTTCGCACAGGGTTATCGTATGTGATCCATTTCTCATCTCCAGTCACCATCCGTTTAAGAAATGGGCCAAGGCTTCGCAGATGGAAATTCGATCCATCATGTTTTTTTCTGTTAATTGGTGTGGCATCCAAACATCGAGCTTCTTTTTGAATCCAGCTTTGTGTAAATGGTTTAAAACTGTTTTATGGTCGATTTTTAGCTCCTGGGCGATGTTACGACTGCTAACATGCCGGTCAACTTCGATAATTTCTCCGATTTTATCGACATTTTCGACGACCGTGCGAGGTGCACCTTTAACATCAAAAATTCCTGAACTGAATCTACGAAACCAAAATTGCACATAATTGGCTGTTAGAGTATCGGAACCATAAACACCATTGACAATTTTAGCCGCCTGGCTTGCATTTTCGCCTTTGTCAAAGAAAAAGTGTAAAATGTGCCGAATTTTCTCTTTGTTCACTTCCATTTTTAACACGCTGTAACTCACAACTGAATGCACCAAACAAAAAACAGCAAAAGAATTTTTCTTACTGTGAAATGTACAGTATGTAAATGTACAGTATCGGAAATTGTTTGATCGTTACTTTACGAGAAATCTATCAGTGCAGCCATATACCGAAAAAATAATGGATTTCTTTTTCCCCAAACTAATATATGTAGGGTTTTTATGGCATTGTTACATTCGTACTTAATAAGCTGAACATGATTGTGGAGGATTAATTTTTACCCACGTACTTAATGCGATCAGAAAAAGGATTTTCGAATTGAATTATCGAAACAGATTGAGGGGGAAGTCAAGGGTTTCTTTTTCGAGTAAAAAAGATTGGTTGCGTCTTGTCTGCATTTAGCCTAATTTTGCATTTATTGAGATAATTATATGTTATATAAATCGCATTTTGAGACTCGTTAACTTTTTTACAACCAAGTTTACGCGATGTATATACAGCGATATCATCGGCGCATAAAACAACTTGACAATTATAAGTTTTGGGAAATTAGAACAGCAAGTTGGCTTCAGAATAGATCCTCGCGAAACACCTGCAGCAGCAGAAAATTCATATAAAAGAGAAACGCAGAAATATCTTTCAAACGAAAAGCTTCGAGTGTCAAACCGAATCAAATGTTTTTTCGGCGTCAATGAGAATTAAGCCATTAAATCGTTTGGCCCCAAATTTATGAAGTAGTATATTATGCTGATTTCTAAAACCTAATTGTTAATTTAGAATAACATTTTGGGATAACTTTAGTCAATTTTTATATATTTAGAAATTATTGAGAAATTTGATACACGCGTTAAGTATGCAAGTAAAAAATCGAATTCTTTCATGGGGACTATTTTCTAATTCCGTATTTTCGATTAAATCCAAATCTGGATACATTATGGATTGTATTCCCCGCACTAAACAATTAACGACGTCATCAATCACGTAGCCCTCCTTTGAGACATGAACTGAAATTGAGCCTAGGTTCGCATCTGCAGACTTAATCAGGCAATCTCTAGCAGGAGAGCTGAAATTACAAAAGGCTTTATAATTTACAATGTAAAGAAAGTATACCGTACCGAAAGTATATATTGATACTCAAGTGGCACGCAGCAATTTGCTTATTTTCCAACGTGGTGTGCCTCCTTTATCCATCGTCTATTTTACGATTTCATAATACGTTTTTGAATTCGAAAATTTCGTTCCTGATTACGCCTAGGCATTTATAGAGGAAAACTTATTGACGATGGCAACTCCATTGTGTTCTACAAAAATTTCTGATTCTACTTAAATCCAGTGTAAGGTTGAGAGATCCAGGAAAATCAGTCTTAGCAAACACTTAGCGCTGTAAATTAATTGATACAGTTATCCATATCCCCTTTTGTGGATATAGAGTAAACATAGCTGTCTATTTTAGTCAATTGCAAAATTTTCTTGTATGGATGGTTGAGAACTCAGTGAAAATTTAACTGGTAAATGACTTGAATGGAACTCATTTAGAGCTTGCAAATCGAAAATAAACACCGGTTATCGGTAATATTAGTCTAGACTAAAAAACAGAAGAAGGTGTATATCTTCGGCCAAATGGCGTATAAATCGGATGTTTAGCATGTAAAAAATACCGCAAAAAATGTCGTGGTTTTATTTAAAATTTTACCCCAAATATTTGCCCTTGTGCATCGCTGCTCAGTAATTAAATCGCCACATACTACCAAATCACCATTTTAATTCATAATTACACTTAAGTCCCTTTTAACTTTACGATCATTTGAACAGGATCTACGAAACAAATAGACTCTAATAAACCGTGCGGAATTTTCATTAGCATTACGAATATCTAGTTTTCATTAATGGAAGTTCGTAAAATGTTAAATTGTTGCCGATGAAAATTGAAACTTCTGAAACTTCTCGACCGCGTGGTCCATATTTTGCTCCGATGAAGCAAAGTCATTAGGCTTGCTTTAAATCTCAATAAACTTTAGTAGCAGTTTGAAATAATAACCTAACGCTCCCCGCAAGTGTCGTTTCGACTTCTGGTGGCTTGGCGTTTTGAAAATCGCTTATGCCTACAATGCTTCATTAAATTGACTCGTGCTAACTATAGGAGCTTGTTGTTGGTACACAGGTTGGAATCACGAAGCACGCTAGAAATGAATTCACATATTCATGTGTGTGGCTAATATATATAATAGTCAGAGAATTGCATTAAGATTTGAAAAGTTCTGTACTCAAACGAAGGCCATTGCTTGTTTACACACATGTCTACGGTGTTAGGGAAGTACATTGGGATAGAAAGTTCGAATTTTCATCGTTTTTCGACAAAAAAACTTCAAGCCTTAATGTCATATCTGCTCCTTTTGGTAAATCTACACTGAAAATTTTTTATTGGAAAAGTTTTTAAATGAACAAAAATATTTGTTAAAGGTGTAACATTTCAACCGAAACACGTGTCACACTAGCCAGTCTATTATAAACGTTTAGGAGATAAGCCTGAAATTTGAAAGGAAAAATTGATTTCAGGTAATGAATAAATAAAACATGTTCTAATGTTTTCAAGCCATTTATTAAAACATCGACGCACAATACAAAAAAATTGGCAATCAGTTTATTTTAAAATTAGTTGCGATATCCGAAATCTGATTAGGAATACTTTGTAAGGGTAGCATGTATAATGGTATACAATGAACGCCACGATGATACAGATCTAATATTTATAAAATTAAATGAAAAATGAGTAAAATGCTAGTCCATTGAGGGCGTTTTTCTTCGCAACGAAAACGAAACCTATAGCAAAAAGACTAAAATTTCTAAAAACGTTTAATTTTGTTTTCTCCTTAAAACATGTAGCATTTCAATTCAATTCAATAACTTACTAACCATAGCAGATAGCGATCCGCGACTTTCAATTTGCTACAATTAATAAACCTAATAGTTTGCTTTACAAGTGTACATCAAACACATGATAACGTGATTCTAATATCTGCTGGGATTGGATTCTAGACTCTGGTTTAAAATTAACATTTGATTTACTTTACAGAAAGCAGCCGTAGATTGAACGTTTTAATTCAAACACTTGTCAATCGCACAAAAATCAATGTTTTTAAAATCCCTTATTTGATTCCCTATCGCTGCGTATATAGATTAAATGATTTTTCTTTTTAAATGCAAATTTGCACTAAAACTTGAGTGTACCGCTAAATGTAAATGAGAATAGCTTCAGTGTATTAATTTTTAAATATGTTTAATAAATAGTTTTTTTATGCTTAAATGTACTTTTAAAAACCTCCCCGTATATTAATATATATAATAATATTCTACTACTTTTCCTTCCATACCAAAAAAATTGTTCAAAACTTTGAAAATTCGATTTTTGTGCTTTAGTTTCATTGCACTTCAACAGCCTACAACGGCGTATTTTTGTTTTGGGATGGACGGAAAGTTAATAGATTAATAATATTGGCGGAGACTGGTAGGCGTATATTTAAGTATTAGAAAATATATAAACATTTAGAAAAATACAATAGTTTTGAATAATTTTGAATATGCTTTTTAAGCCTAAGCCAATGTCTTAGGGCTGCTTTGTAGGGGTCTGTTCAAATTTTACATTTTATTTTTAACTCAGCCAAAAATAAATGCAAACACTTTTTCTTTATGTGGTTCTGCAAAATAAATTTTTCCTAGCGATCTGATTTTTAAATCCGCTACGGAAAGATTAACATAAACAAAATTCGCCAAACCGATTTTAACATGGAGAAATAAGGCTTAGACACACTATGAGGTAAGCACATTTTCGATTAGTGTGGGACTCAGTTTGATCCTGTCCATTTTTTTCTATTCTGTTTTAGGAACGTCATCCTTCACAACTGTTGACATACAAATGAAAAGTTAAATGTATACCTTCAGTGGAGAGCCAGGGATCAACCTCCCATAATAAGTGAAAAAGGGAATCTCGCCAATAATAATTAGAAGATTGTTATATATAATTTATGGCAGATTTGAAATTTGATATAAGCGCTTCAAAATTTTAATGAAAAAATGTTTGAGATTGGTGTACAGATAGGCTAATAATAGAGAAAAACCTGATAGTTAAAGTCCATAACAGATATTGATCGAAAATCTGATACAATTGTTGGCAATAGTCTGCCTAAAAAATTAGACCAAATTTCGGTTTGTAACTATTAACTTAGCAACTTTATATACTTGATACAAGGGGTTTACATCACTACATACATTTAACGAGAAATTATCTCGTATTCATTCATCACTCATTCATTACACATTTAAAGGTCTAGGCAAAAATGTGTTTGTGTATCTTTCCTTGCGATTCCCTGTGTAGCAAACTTTAGTATCTCATCCGGTTTTTTTTTTTTTTTTTTTTTTTATTATATTGTGTCCTCGTTTCAAATCTGAGCTTACATGCATAAAACCGTCAAGATTACATTTTCGATTTTATAATGTGAAATAAGACTCACGTCTGTTTATTTTATTAAGATTTTCCGTTCATTTTGGCTACCGACTTCTACAAGTAAAAATGATAAAATAATGCGAAATACCCGCATACATGACGCTTAAATTCGATGACTTTGACCTTTCTCTACATAAAACAACAGTTTTCCATTTAGTATTATTAATTTATTCAGTGTATGCCGATCATTGATTACCATTGCGGCTTCGCTAAAGAAGTGCGAAAATGGTCGATAATTGGATCGTTGCCAAACCAATATAAGTTCTTTCGACACGGTATCATCATGTTGCCTAAATAAGGTAGAATGTTGTTTTTCATTTCCAATCATTTGGGAAATACTTCCAATAATATATATTGTAGCAACTTTTTTCAATATATGCCTTTTTCATGCAGAAAAATGACCCATATTACCGAAAGGTCCTAATAATAATACGAACTACTTTCGACCCATTTTTTCTGTAACGTGAACGTTTATTATAAAAAAATATTAGCACAAAATAAACAAAAGTTAAGAAGAATAAAATTCAGGTATAAATAAACAAGGGTAAGAAAAGTAAAATGAAAAAAAGAGCATAAACACCTCTACCACAGAGGGACATCCGCAGCCAGCATAGATCTGAGTTGGGAGTAAACCTTTAAGCTGCTGCAAGCAGCATAGCAACCAGTAATAGAAAACAAATTCAGTTCACTTTTCTAATCGTACGAAGATATCAAGATTTATGTAAGGTGTGTTCGCTGCGTCACGTTAGCCAATAGTTCTCCCATCTTTCAGGCTAAACAGGAATTCAGTGCAGTGGTATTTTAAGTTTATCCATATGTCAATCTTTTTCTTGTATATCGTGATAAAAATGGATCCTCTGCTTGCGCAAGCACTACGTCGTCAATTGAATCCAGTATCATTCAGGTGATTTGATGTGTGGAGACCGCAGGAGGAACAATAGCTCGTTCAGTGCCGCCAACGTTTCCTGGGCGAGTTTTACAATATCAGGCCGAACGTTACGATGCTGAAAATAACGACATCATATCTTATCGCGTATTGCATTTTTCGTCCGAATCGCATCAGCTGGTACGAGGCTCCCTGAATTGAAGCGACTCGTAACACACTATACACAGCTGGTCCCCTCCCTTCAAATAAGATGACATAAATAAGCATTTTTATTGTCGATATTACTAAAGCACTTAGTGTGCGTTATAGCTGTTTGCACTTTATATGTATAGTAGCGCGGCAGTTATTTACCACAAGTAATGGTTCAGCAGTACTACCCACTGTAATAAACAAGAGAAGTAACTTTTTATCCTTTTCTAATGCGGCGCTCGATAAATGCATAGCATAGAAATTGTGTTGTTTACAGCTCTTACTTATAGTGTTGAGTAAAGCTTAAAAATAGTATATTCAGTTTTCGCGAAAATCAACGAAAACTTATTCAACGTCATCATATATACTATAAAATAAATTTCAATCAAGCACAGAAACTGGACCAAGTGCGATTACTATCTGAAATGTATGTTAATAACACTAATAATTTTTCCGAGCCATTTGTAATAAATTTTCAAAAGTTGCCAAAAATCAGCGAAGCCTTGCATTGTCATCCAATTTCATATTATTTATAGTAAACATCCAAATTAATTGTTTTTTGAAAGCTTTTTAAAATAAACAAGTTTTCCCTTCACTATCTTACAATATTAACATACATTTAAACTATGATTAATTTAGAATTTTACAGTGAATGACTTCAACAAATGTGAATATTTGCAAATTTTACGAGACAATTTACTATAATACATTGGAATTAAACAATTACAAATTAACGTGGACCGAACTTTAGTTTCATCGTTTAAGGGAATTTGTAGTTTCAATATGTTAATACATGCCCCTAATGCTTTCGTTCATAGTTTGTATATGTTCATTTAAAACCGCAACAAAATATATTTTGGTAGTTTTTGAAGAAAATCTCTATAATTAAGTTACATTAATTTCAGAACCACTTTCAATACATTACAACTGCAAGAATTAGAACGGGCTTTTCAACGTACCCATTATCCTGATGTTTTCTTTCGCGAAGAGTTAGCGGTACGGATTGACTTGACCGAAGCCCGAGTACAGGTATGGTTTCAAAATCGTCGGGCTAAATGGCGTAAACAAGAGAAAATTGGCCTAAAAGAAGGTGAAAATTTGACGGGGTCTGCCTCATTTGAAGACAATGGCATCGAGCAGTTAAAACAAAGTCTAGGTGTTCATCTATTTTCCCTCTAAAAACCGAAAATAAATTTTCATAATTTTTTAGGCTCCTCCCTATTGCCTGATACGCCGCCACAATCATCTAATTCCTTGGATAACGAAAGCAAAACTACCTATAGTAACGGTGATGGCATTACAACACCATCGCGAATGTCACCGAATATATTTCTTAATCTGAATATAGATCATATGGGACTAGAACGGGGTGGAGGTTTATCTATGGAATGGTCTAGTTATCCGCCAACCACTATTAATGATCATAATTACAATGGTCTACCTTCAACAATAGCCAAAACACCGCCTAATAATAATGTACTCAACACTCCGACAGATCAACAGCAGCAAGAAAGTGAACACTCATCCCTGAATAATGTTATATTACAGGATCATCATAACGCTGGTTTAATTGATAGCTCTTGTCTTAACGGATCATTAGATTTGGTAGATACAAACACTTCAGCATCTACCTATGATGAAATGCGCTTTCTTTGTGTCGATCAATACACTATCGATCAATTCAAAGCTGAGTGCATTTTAAATATGGATCATAACTTAGGTTTAGATGAATGCGATAAAGACGTAGGACAATTGGACGAAACAAATGTTCTGCATTGTGCTCATCACTTAACATATGATCATCAACTGCAACCACAACAGCAACAATCCACTTCACAATTGCATCATCATCTGCAAACGCAATTATTCTCCACCGATCAACAACAACATAATAACCAAGAATCCGGTCATCTAAATTTAATGCAGCATTTCAATCACACACCAACGGCAGCGGCTGTAACGTCAATGCCAAATAATTGTACAATAACTACAACAGCAACAACACATTTACTTCAAGACCCACTACAACATAACCTGCACACGTTAAATTTAGATTTACCAGTATTTGCTGGTCTACAGGGCATGGGCTCAAAATCACCACCGCTATTAATGCTGGATAAATCTATGTCGTTTAATGTTAATGTGGATAGCATCGGCGACTTGGTCGATGATAAATTTTAATAATCTTAAGTAATTAAATTATTATTTAAAAAAAAGTATTTTATTTAGTTAGTGTTTGTTCTTAGTAAAAGGTTGTGTAAGTCTCTCCTAATATCAAATTTCTAATGCCTTATAGTACATATTCCTGTAAACAATTTTGTATAAATTTTCATTCTTTACAAGAAAATAATTTTTAATTTAATGTTCAAGTTTCAGTTTTAGCAGAATTTAAATCAATTGTAAATTTAAATCAGTTTTAAATAAAACTACTCTTTATGCACTTATCGAACAATATCAACAATGCCACGCAATCTAAAATGTATAATCAAGCTTCTTATATGGATTGACATATTGACATGATTGACATGTTAATTTAGGTTAGGTGAGTTCTTAACACAAAAGGATATAAAAAGCTTCTTAGTACAAAAAGGACGTTTGCCATGCTTTATCTAAGTAATACATTGATTTTATTTTTGCCATCCATTATCCTTTGCAGTAATGCCATTATAAACTGTCGTAATACATTGGAGGATAGAAACATTAAATACATTGAATGGTCATACTTAAAAAAATGTTTAATTTTAGTTAATGGTGAAGATATGTCAAAAAACATCTCGCAAAACATTTGGAATTTAACGAAATTGGTAAAAATAATTTTACGACAAAAAAATAATGTTAATAAATAATTACTTCCTTTTGAAGGCCTTTAATGGTGCGAATAATATACCTTATAATGCTTATAGGTATATGGGTTACGCCTTGACCGCCATTCCATTAAATGAATTAAGTAACATTAGCATGGAAAACGTTGAGATTATTGAAGCTTTTGGTTTAATTAAATCTAGCAATAGTAAACAACACCAGGATGGTTTCAGCGAGAAGCAACTGAAATTAATTGCCCGTAAAGTGCGTACTGAATGGTTGGATAAAAATGCTTTAACGTACTCCGAATATGATTTAAAAATAATGGGTCAAATTTTGTGTTACCTAAAAGTAGAAGACATTGAACAAATTCATGCTGATGCTTTCAAGTAAGTAAAAATGCGTTATCGCAAGAAAAATGTCTATTGAAAAGGAATAAAAATTATTATAATAGACAAGCTGCTGAATGGATAGGCTCGATTGAAAAATGTCCCTTCGAAAGTTTGCAGGCCTTAAGTAACTTAGCTAAAACATCTGAGGCTTTTGGTGAGCCTGAGACGTGGTCCACATTAGAGGTAAAACCCAACTAAAAAAGCAAGCAATTAAGGAAGGTATAAATTACTTCATATGCAAATTTTTGCATTAATTAGTGCAATCTATAGCATTTTCTTTGCGAAATTCAATATATTTTCCGGTATACCTAGTTATAATATTTGACCATATAAATGTTATTTCATTTAGTCGCATCGATTTACAAGTTTCTTATTGACCAAGGAACTATTCACGAAAACAATTCGTGCACATTCTTGCAATTATTTTTTATGCTTGTCGAATTTTTGATGGTTAAACGCCTTACAAAGCCACTTCTTATGCAATACAGTCTTATCATTATTGTTGCTCTTATATATTATTCTCATATCTTACACATTGATAGGAATTTTTGAGACAGATTGCATTTTTCTTAAAAAAAAGTTCCGTTAATGTATAAAAAATATTATAAAAAAATTGTTAAGCTTCGGCGGATTTGGAAGTTTCCCTTTCTATTATGAAAGAGACTATACAAGTCGTATAAAGACTTGTTTGGTTTTCAGCTATTGAAAAAAACGTCGATTGTGATAAAAGAATATATGCTTAGAGACCATTGTGCGAATAGTAAAGGGTTTAAAATGCTTTCGACTCGAACGTTTACGTAAAAAACGCATCTGACTACGATTTGATTAAGAAAAACAATTTAAGAATATCCTAACTGTTGATGAGTCCTGTTGCATAGGTTATAAAGCCGAGCAATAATCTTCTAAGCAGCGCAGTATCTAAAAAACTAAAATTTGAAAATCTTAAAAGTTACTTGCCACGATTCACCTTTTTTTATGTACGGATATAAGCCCGGATAACAATTTTAATAATCTCTTCAACGGGGCATCGAAGTTGAGCTAAACCCTAACAAACAAAAAGTTCAAAATGCAAAGAATTCCAAGCTGAAACAACACCCCATTGTCTTAATAATTATATGCTACTAGTTTCGAAATTTTTTTTTAATTTCGAGAAATGCAAAAAGTATTAGTACACCAAGATCATCGGAGAATATCAGAATTGCTTAATACAAAATTTGCAAAAAAAAAACTTAATAAAATGCTGCAAATAAATTCGTTAAATAATTTACAAGAAGATAAGCAGTAATGAAAAATTAAACTAATTTATATTCACAGGTGGCAATCATTGGTAACATGTTAAATGGCTTAAGTCAGGATGAAATTAACTCGATCGATTTAAATAAGCTACAATTAAATTATTTTTATAATATTGCTAAAAATTCGCACATGCAATTTAACACCACAAAATCGAGTAAAGAAGAATAAGAAAAATTTTCTCTTCATGTATTTTAATCAAGATTTCATTACAATTCAACAGAGCTTTATTATCATTAAGAAAACAAATTAAGACAAATATACCGCAACCAAAAGACAAGTTTTTCCTTTTTTTATATGTAGAAATACATTTTTCAACAATTTTTTTGTCGAGTTTTGTCTATCAAATATAAGGATTTCAATAAAACTTAAAAATTAAAAAAATAAGACTCTCATAGATTCCTGGTTTCTCATTCCTATATTTGATTACGAACCACTTAAAGAGATTGACGCCTGCGAAAGACTATTGCAAGAACTGGGTCTTTCAATCGTCATTGTCTGCTGTGGTACCTGGCTATCGGGGGTTACGCCTAAACCAGCATAAATTTCTTTCATAACAAATAAAATCGTATCCTCCGAATCCCTACGAAATATCAGCAGTTAAGTTTTCATCGCGGGAGTCTTTGTTTGCCAAGAACTTACCAATAACATACGTGACTACTTAAAGCAAATATATATTCGTTAAAGAATTCCAAAGGTGCCTCTTGCAACACGTAATCAACGCGTTTCGAATCATTAAGTTTACCCAAAGGAAAATCGATTTCAATCATATCGTCAGAAATCCCTGTAGAATTTGAATCAGTTCTTATACGTGGTGCTGTTTTAGGCACATTGGATTTACTATTATCATTTGCTGTTTGGTTATCGCCTTCATTTTCTTCCAAGTGTCTTTGCATTTCGATTACCTGCAAGTTTTTTAATGAATGTTTATGTGTTCACATTTTAGTACCAGATTAATCATACCTTTTCCACCTCCATTTCCATTAATTCTTCAGCCTCTTTTCTAGACTTACTAGTTAAACCAAATATATCTACACTTTCTAAAGTACTTTTGAAACGATCAAAAAATCGGTTTTTTAAATCCATACTAACTCGTGTCATGGTCTCTTTTAGTTCCAAATGCATGCGCTTACGACCTTTATGGTGAGATATTAAAACTGGGCGAATACCACTTAAATCGGGATTAATTAACGCTTCAATACGATAAGCAACCGGATCGTAAGGATGAAAAATATTGTAAAATCCAGTGCAAGTGGGCAAACGAAAATCCAAACCTAGCTTATCAATACCACGGATGGTAACAAACATGCCTGCACAAACGAAACATAATTAATTACATCTTTTTCGTCGAAAAGAAAAGTAAGCTATATCACCTATTGGGGAACCTAAAGCAAAGAATTTTTTCGGTTGAAATATCAGCTGCACATATTGGATAAAGGGCTGTCTTGATCCAGCAGGACCCATACTATAGGTTATCTGTTGTGGTTCCAAAGCCAACCCCCCTCTTAAAACCGTTTGGTTCATATCGCCACGTGACTGCATTGTCATGAAAGGTTGATCAAGATTTTTCAGATTTTCCTCTTCATTTTCTTTTAAGGGATTTTGATGACACAGCAAATCGAATAATATCAGAGACCCTAAGCTATGGCCAGCTAAGGAGACGCCACCATTAAAATCCGGATTTCGTTCACGATATTTTGTATACGTTGCATTCATGGAGGTGGCTACAGTGTTCATAATCTTTTGACAGTATGTTGGGCTCGTATAAAACAGTACATCTAACAAAGTATCATTAGTAAAGTTGCGCAATTTGGGTATTGATTCTAGGGTAATGGATTTCAATTGTTCATCGATGCCTACTTCTCTAGAATGCAGATCGCTATGCCATGAGACCGGCAAAACTTCTACACGTCCAACCGAACCCATTTCAATAGAATTTTTATAATGTGATTGCACCAATTGTCTTGCTATCGCACGAAAATCTTCCACTAAACAGTTAATTTAATAGATTGAGTTGCATTAATATTAGACACAAAAAAATTCAAATAAAAGAAAAGAAAACTTGTAACTTACCCACTTCTTCCACCGTTCGTAATTTGAGATCACATACAGAACCTATGCCATGGACCATGAATAACAAATGATCTACTTTGTGACATTCACCCTGTTCAATATTGAAATCGTCCAAATCGCGTTTAACTACACGAGGTCTGGAAGTTGTTTGCTTAACAGTAAAAAAAAACAATTTCTGGTAATAATAAACAGCTTTAGCGGCGTTTACCCTAACCTCATAAAATCATATATTTCGAAACTGCATAAAAAGCTTTTGTTTGCTACTCACCGAACTACCTCCCCAAGCGTCAGTATTTTGTTGTTGTTGAAAATGAACTATCACTGTTGGTCCGTGAAATACAACTTGCTCGCCCATACTCAGAATAATTGTATTATGCCATTGACCACTTTCCGTCGCCGATTTATACTCAGCTTCCAACAGATCAGAAGTTTCTTCTTCATAAGGCACATACTTGGAATCAGTGGCTTTATAGAACCACGAGCAACGACGTACCTCAATCGGTTCACTATCCCAATAGACACTAAACTTTTTACGTTCCTTGATATAGACGTCATATCGACCACCTTCGACGGCAACTATGTTGTCTTTAATATGGGAAATAAATGTAAAATATTTGTAATTTAAAAAAAATTCCACAGTGCCTTACCACCTTTGGAGAGTACACTAGTTTCCAGTAAAGCTGAATCATAGTGACTAAAAGGAGTCCAAACTTGTTTACCACCTACGATGCGTTTGAAGAACCAGTGCTTGATGACTTGTTTGTACGACTTAATTTACGACAATAATGTACAACAATTTAGTATTAGATTTGAATAATTTTTTGTATTTTGTACTTACACCGTGTGCGTTGGGAGTCGTAACCCCTTTGCTGCTGGAAAGAAGATTAGCCATACGTAATTCCTTTAAAATTTCTTCGGGTAATTCCTCCCAATTTTTCGCTCTAACACTCTCAATTTTCGTGCAATCCTCTACTGGAGTCGTTGTAGGCTCTTTTTTATGAAATTTTTCTTTACTTTCCTTCAGCAATTGCTCTGAATAAATCTTCGACTTCAAAAACGCCGTTGTGTTGTTAATGAATTCTGAAAATTCCGAACACGATGAAGAAGGCGGTTCCACCTGAATTGAAGTCGATGTCGAACGCTGGATCAGATCTTTATTGGTTAAACCGCTGTGAATAAGATTGTAATTTAGATCTCCTGTCTCATTTGGTGGGTTGTTGAAAAAGTTTTGTAACCGTTGCTCTTCGTTGCGATCAGGAACTATTGAAATTGTTGGTTTCTGTTGATTGAAATTATCAAAAAAAGTCGTAGAATCTATTTCTTTTTTCGTTTGGTCCGGTTGATTGAAATAATTTAAAAATGTATTGACAGGTAAAACTTCTTTCTGTTGATCAGCTTTTGAAGTTTTAATTTCTGTTGTAAATACATCCGTAAGAGAAGAAAATGTCGATTGCTCCGCAGGGTCGGTTATTAAACTTTCAAAACCGATAGGCGGTGGTATTTTCGTATCTAACGTAGTTTCACCTTGATGTTTAGCTACATTTGCCTTTTTCTCTGCGTAACTGGGTATCACCTTATGTTCGGCAGATGGGAGTGGTGTTAATAGTGGTAGAGATGACGATATCTGCGGTGTTGGTTTGAAAACTTCTGAATTGGTTGACTCACACGATGTTGAAAAATTAAATGATGTTATAATTTGGGATGGTGAAGATTTCAAAATTGATTTATCCTTGTTGTCATCTGAAATCAGATCACGTTCACTCTTGAAGATTTCTTTAACAGCAGCGGAGAGCGAACATGTTGCAGTAGATTTCGCCTTCGATTGACCTGATTCTTTGCAGGTTTTTTGATTTTCAATAGAAACGTCAGTATCTAAGCTCTGTTCGGGCTTTCTTATTATATTTGAATTTATAAAGTTGAGTGCGTTAGGGTCGAAGAAAAAGTTGGCTGAGTCAATAGTGTTTTCACTTTTATTGATAGGTTGATTAAGATTTGATTCCGCATCTATTGTCGGAAAAGTAGCAAAAAAATTGAAGTTCGTCGAACAATCGTCGGCTGTAGGCGGTGCAAAGAAATTTGTTAAGATAGGCTGGGAAGGTTTTGCTTTTGAAGTGGTTGGACTTCGACGATATGGATTGCCTAAACCAGTTTCGCAAACTTTAGAAAGTTGACTTAAGGGATTACCTATAAGAGATGTTTCTGACAATTCAATTGGAGTCTCTAATCCCAAATTGCCCGAGTTTCGGTTCAAATCCACGGTTTGTGTAAAAGATGAAGTAACTGCGGACTTGTCCCAATGTGTATTAGGAGCTGCGCCGATATCTTCAGTTACTTTATCAGAATTTTCTTTTTCCTTCTCTTTGTTCTCCGGTTGAATTGATTCTATTGCTAGTTTCCCGATTTGAACAATCTTTGAATCAGGAGAATCGTCAATTATTACAACTTTCGAAGTTGAATGTTGCTTATCAAAGTTCTCTTGTGCAGTAAGCGTATTAAAATCAGTGATTGCTTGTTGATTTGTTAAAGTAGCAGGGCTTCTATCGTTCGTTCTGTTAATTACTTTTTGGGCGTGATCGGTGTCTTCTATAGACAAAGGTAATAAGGGGACGCTTTGTGTGATAGCTGAAGAATTTTTTTCCTGACTACATGTCGGCACCGGTATGTGGAGATGAGGTATAAATTGTTGAAGCAGACTTTGACTTTGTGTACTTGGTCGTAAGACAGGTATAAATTGTTGTCCTAATATAGTAGTCACTGAAGCTGGGGATGTGTCTTGGGGTTCAAAGGGATTTTTGTACAGTTTAGTCCCTTTTTGTAAACGAAAAGAAGCCTTTCCAGCCCGGGGGGGTGGTTCTAATGGCGTGCTAGCAGATGTTGTTGTACTTGATATTTTACTGGGATCAAAATGTTTTATAAATTGTTGTGAACTGGTATTAAACGGACTTTCACCAGGAACCGACGATGGTGCTTGCCCAGATAGTAGTGGTGTAATGTTTTTTCGAGAGGAAGGTCTGCTTGGTCGAATTGGCGTTGTAGAGGATTCTGGATGAAAAAAGTTTACAGTCGTTTTAATATCTGTAATTGGTTGCGCTGAAGTATATGATTTGGATAAATTTATTTCGCCTTTTTTAGAATCGAAACCAATAATAGAAGATTCGGAACTAGTTTCTGTCTGCGGGACGGAATATTGGGACGATTCAGATGTTTCTAATGCCTGATTTTGTGAATTACCCACAAATGAATCTGAAATATTGGCAGAATTGTCAGGTACTTGATTATCAAAAAAATTTACCGATATAGATTCTGGACAAATTTGTTTGTTAGCACTAAATAGAGGAGTTGTTTCTGTACACGATGCAGGGTTTGTGGAAGAAAACACATCGAAGCCTGACTTGTTTGGCTTTAAAAATGGATTGTTATTCGGGGAAGTGTCTGACTTATTGGTATGTGTTATACTTCCCGTGGCCGATTGCACTAATCCGGATATATTTTGTAAAACTCCCGCGGGCACCAAATTGGTAATATTAGAAAAAAGACCCGCGCCGACCTTACCTTCTTCTGGCTTCGGATTGCAACACGACGAAGGTGGAAATGGTTGGGGGAAATCGTTAGGCGCGCTATTTGTGGTCAAAGAATCTAGAATTTGTGATGACTGTATATTTTGTTCAGAAAGGTCCGGAATGGGAGCATACAGCTTTCTTTTAGCATTTAAGCGGAAAGTATTATGACCATTGCCCGTTGATGGTGGAGGAGCACACGGTGCTGGTAGAACAGCTATATCGGTCGGCGTGTACAATTTAGGCGTCTTCGCGAGCGGTAAATTATGAAGTAATTCCTCTTCGTTAGTCAAAATGCTATTTAATATTACGAATTTTAGAAGCTTTCTCAGACTAGTTGATGGAAAATAAGAAAAACTAACCTTTGCGAATAGAGATCACCTTGTGGTGGATTATATAATTGGCTTGACGAAGGTAATTGTTGATTAGGTTGTGGTATACTCGAGCTTTGCGTATTCACTTTCCCTAACCCAGGTTGTTGAAATGAGCTACTATCCTCAGTTGTCGTAGTATCGCGACTTGATATACCCGAAATCCGTTTTGAAAACGTGGAAAACACATTGGATGCCACCGAAGGCAATGCAGAAAATGAAGAAGCCGCTTGGATTAAAATAGAATCGCTAGCAATGGCTTGAGTATTGGCGCTTTGCAAGAGAGAGTTGCCATTTAAGTCAGTATGTTCTACAATTGCATTTTCCTCATTTGAGTTATTCAAATTTATTTCATGTAAATTTTCATCATTAGATGCAGCTGTTCCGACAGTGACCAGAGTTTTGGATTCTGAAAGAAAAATTAAGTACACGAGCATAATAAATGGGTACATATAGAAGTCCTATACATGATAACACTCGAAATCGTATTTATTTAAACACAGAACTCGAAAAAGCGTTTTATTTTGACTAAACTGAAAATCTCATAAATTAACGAATTAAGTAATCGATGCTACCTTTGTAATGATACAGTGCGCCTTCATAAGAGCATTAAAAATGAGAAGTATGAAAATTAAATTCGGTCAGGACCGAATCTTTTCTACTCATCACCGTTTGCCCCAGAAAACGACAAAAGAAGTAAAAGAATTGGTTGTTGATTGCTTATATTTTCAAAATAAAAGTTATCTTTGTAAAGGCATGTGGGCGTAAGGCGTGTCCTTTAAAAAATTTAATTCAATTCCAAATACTTTTGTTGCATAGACATGCGCAAGTTGTAGGCGTGTCCTTTGAAAAGTTTATGTTTGTATCTTTTCAATCGGGAGATTAAAGTACTACAAAGCTGCGGAAACAGACAGATGGACAGACGAACAGGCGGACATGTTTAGTTGCATTCAGGATTTAAAACAGTCCCAGAACTTGTATACTTTATGGGGGTTTTGAAGCTTGTATGTGCTTGTTATAAACGCATTGAAAAAATAATTTAATTTTGGTAGACTATAACATTGGGTAGTCGTGGTAAATTTTTCCAATGTAGCACAAATGCTACAATATCGCTTATAGAATATGCGTTCAAATTTTTGTAAATTTATCTGCTATAGCTTGTAAGTAATGAGCAAACAACCAATGTTTCATTCTATCCGTTCAGACGGACAGACGAATATGCTTAAATCGTTTTAGATTTGATGCTGATCAATTGAGTCTCTGATGTCTATTTCTGGGCGTTGCAAACATTCTGATAAAATGAATATACCCCTCATCTTACGGTGATGGGTGTTCTGTTGTCTTTCCATTTCTCTGATTGCATAACTTTGTAGTATTTGTGGCAAACATTCTCGCGTTAGTGAAAATGAAGATACCGTCTAACAAGGATTTGGAATTAAATTAAGCTTTTTAAAGGACACGCCTACAACGCCCACATGCCCCTACTACAAAAACTTTTATTTTGAAAATAGAAGAAATCAACTGCGCCCGCCCCATATTATAGAGCATGAGAATTTTGTTCTTTTACTTCTTTTGTCTTTTTTTCGGGGTAAACGGCGATGGGTACAAAATATTCGGTCCTGGCCGCATTTAATTTTCTTACTTGTTTTATATTACTTGTAACAAAAAGCAAAATGCCTGAAGTGCGCTTTATATTCCGCCAAGGTCGCTACATGTTCTGTTGGTTGATTTTGCAACTATATGCAAAAAAGAATGACCATCGGGTTTACTATTCCCATTTATTGGCCCATTTCTAATAAATGAAAATACAAAAACATTGCAAAATCTACAGTATCTACTATTTATTAGCGTACCGTTTTGAATGAAATTCGACACATCGTTTCCTGCGTTCCCTATCGAAATTTTCACGATTAAGATAATTGGTATAGAAATCTGAAGATTGACTCATCTGTTTTCAGCGGCCAAGATTCGATCACAAGTATAGCCATGAAAAATAAATTTTTGATATCATTGCTTTTAATGAAAAGATTGTCACCCCTTAAAACTTAAAGCAAAGATTTACATAGGAAGGATATTCAAGGAGGATTGGAGAATTGGAGGGTATTCAAGATTTGCCTCAAGGCATCGATTTATTTATATTAGTATAAGAATAATAACTAATTTCGCTTGAAATAAAAATATGTATACAGATGTGTGAATTCTCACACGGATAGCAGCTAAACAAGTTTAATGTACTTAAAGTAATGATGAAAAATAATGTATAAATAAAGTGTGTGTGAGTAACTGGTAACAGTTTTTTATGCATTGTAATCTATTTTAATTACGATTTAATGTAAATATATGAAAAAGAAACACATGTCTAGATATCGAAATGTATTTGTTAATTCTAAAAAAACACTTGGGAGTTGGCATATTATTGCAGCAGATATTTTGGCATTTTTAACAATTTCATCAATTTTATTATCACGTTTAGAGTGTTTTATTAAAATTCTTTTGAAAAATTTTGCAGGCATATATATACAAACAAATTCTAGTATATGTATCTTTTAAAAAATTAAAAGAATAAACTTGGAACAAAAAACTCATATTCACTTTAGGCGAATCTTGAGTAATGACAATTTAATCATTAACGACATTTTTAATAAGACAATTTGATTCATAATTTGTGGTGAGATTGAAAGCTAAATTTGATAGTAACATTCCTTGATCGATGAAGAACCTGAACCAAACAAAAAAATGGTTGTAATCTGTCCACCACAAGTCAACAATAAATTGGAAAATGAAACTCTCGCGAGAAAAATCCGGCAACTTTTTTCTATTATAAATGTCGATCTATTAAGGAGATTTCCAAGAAATAAAACTTTTATCCAGATATTCAACCAAGCTAGCAGTATGTTCGGTTCAAAAATAGCCCCGATCGGTTTTGACACATCCGCAATTAACCATAATATTTAAATTCAAATTCTTTGTAATTTATTATAATGAGTTATATCAATTTTCTTGAAGCTTAAAAGTTGAAAATGCTCGATTTGATTACCACCCAGTAACCCTGATGTGAACGTAAGCACAAGGAAATCCTTTAGTTTTCGTGTTAATAACACGGTTGCGAACAGAAAGCATGGATTGATAAAAACGCGCGAGATCACGCTGCCATATTCTTTTATATTTCCTATTTACTTGAATGATGATGTTAGTTTCCGAACTTTCAAGCTATTTTTAGCTGTAAGCGATTTAAAAATTCCTTTTGAATAACTTGCAATAACTATTTAGAATTATCTCTAACTAAAACTTTAATCGCGCTTTTCTCAAAGTTTTCTTTTACGACCTTTTTTCAAAAAAAGGAAATTGTAACAAAATCAAGGCAATTTGTTTTATGGAATCAACATTTTCAGAAAAATCTGCGAGTTTCATTGAAGAAAGTTACTATTTATTATGAATTCATATATACAAACTTTAGTTTAGTTTAAGTGTATACTTTTTTTCGATATATTTGTATTTTTTATTTGCACATTCATGCTTATGCACCTTTTAATATAACGTTGTTCATGCTCTTCCATTGGCACAATCATGTTTTTATGTTTGTCTGTTTTGGTATAACTGACCGTAGACAACAATACCGCTAATTACATAATCCAGACCTTGAAGTGTGTTGTCGTTGTTTATATTAGTTTGGGGAAAAAGAAATCCATTTTTTTTATATGAACTTCAGGACTTTATTTAACATAGTTCGGATTGTCCGATTTGGGTCAAATATGCACCGTTTTGTTGTATGATTTGTTGCCATTTTAAAGGTAACTT